AAGGGCACTCGAACCCCTATTCCTACTGGATAACCTATTAAGTTAATAGCTTACATTGGTGAATCAAGGGGTCTAGCCGGCCTACGCCGCCTGATACCTCTACTACTCAATCAAGATTGTGACAAAGACTAAGTAACTCCTATGTTACCTTAATAGTCACTCAAACTTAGTATGAAGCCTAAAAGGTATGAGTCGTCCACTTGTTTTTAATAAACAAAGGCTCTCAACCAATACTCTTGCTAGGTTAAAAAATAACGAGTTTAAAGCCAACATTGGCAATAAAGGGAAACAACCGGTACCCGCCGCTTGTTTTCCTACTTAAAATCCTTGGCTACTAGGTAATTCTATTTACTTGGTCAAATTGAATAAAGAGTTCGAATACCGATTGATTAAATGGCCGACTGATCATCTATCCTGGAAACAGACAACCAGTCGTCCAGGGGCATAGGCGGCATACTTACCTGTCTAAACGTTTGGCCATACACAACAGTCGGTCAAGTGAGCAAACTTCAAATACTTAGACAAATTTGAACAAAAACAAAATATTTGATTAAAATGAGCCGGCCATAAAAGACCAGCAGAATATTCAAAACCCCGGCCCCCTGGCCGGGTAATTACAAAGCAAACGGCACGCAGGCCGTGAAAAGAAAAAAATATACTTAAAGCTTAAGAAGGGGGCAGTTCAGTATCAGCAGCAGCCGCCTGGTCAGCACTCTTCTTGCTGGACTCGGCCTTAGCTGCATCATTTTTTGATGCCTTACCCCCAAGTGGCACAAGCGCCACAACCGGCTCTTCCTCCTCCAACGCAACGTCCATCGCCTCTTCTTCAGCAGCCGCCAGGATCTGTTGATTATATATTTCCGAACACTGGCGGTACGTTCTTTCCCATGAGGCAAAGTCGGCACTGGGGAACAGTCGTTCCCAGGTCATGCGTTGGATTTGGGCGGAGTCTTCCACCATCTCCCGGACGAGCTCTTGTTTCTCTTGCTCGGCCTTGTCCGAGAGCTCTTGGGTAAGACTCTTCTCCTGGGTCACCAGGCGTTCTTTTACGTTAGCCAAAGATTTCTCCATGGCCTCGTAAGAGTGCATTTTTTGGCGAAGGGGTTTCAGCTCGGCTTTAAGTTTGGTGACGGTCCCCTCCAGCTCGTCAACCTTCTTTTGGGCCGCCTCTAGCTGAGCCCGAACAGCGGCGGTCGCCTGCGCCTGATAATAAAGAAGATCAATGGTCAGTACTTCATTTTGGGCAATTTGAAACATTGCCTTATCACAGCTGGAGGCGGCCATAGCCTTTGCGGCCTTTACCTCTTTGTTTTTCCGATCAATCGGCTTGCGAAGGCTGTTGACTCGGAGCAGGGCCTAAGTACAAAGAAAAACAGGCGTCAGTTTCCAATCAAAAGAGTTAACAGGCGTCCTGGAACTCAAAAGCTCAAAAAGGTGCTAAGTATACCTCAGCTAGGATCCCTGAAATTCCATCGAGGTCTAGGGTGCCGGCACCCTTGACCGCCTCCCTGTCAGAGGGAGGAACTACTTTAACCATTGACTTGGCTACCTCAACCAAGTCAAGTCCCTGGGGGCCGGCTGCATTAAGTAAAAGGATAAAACAAGTTAGACTTAATCAAGAAAGAAGCAAGGGTGAGTTTTTTACAAGTGAGGGTCCATACATCTAGGCGGCCCCGCCTGGGTTTTTGAAGAAGTGGCCGGCTGCTTCTCAGCCGCCACTGTTTTCCTGGAAGACCCAGGAGAGCTGGCAACAGTCGTCCTCCGGGCCTTGGGGTCCGGCTGTTGCGAGGAAGAAGCCCTTGGAGTGCCAGACTGAAAACAAAAAGAGTTAGTATATGCATAATACAACTAAAAGGAGAAGAGTTTTCAAAGCCTACCAAGGGTGCCTCCTTGCTGGGGGAGTCGACATACGACTGCTTCATTAGTGAGACCCGCAGCATGGCCGCCGCAGTCTTAGATGCTGTTATTTTACTCATGGCGTCGGCTGAAAGAAATAAACAGCAAAGTTAGTAAAAATTCCAAGTAAACAAGGCGTGAAAAAACAGAGTATTCGTCAGGCCGGCTACCTCTAGAGCACCGACTGCCGAGGCCACAGGCGGCCAAGAAGTACTCGTCATAGAGCCACTTGAAGCTCGGGACGCAATTTAGGGGTACTTGCTCTCGTACCCCTGAAGTAGAGTTCACCCTAGTCTCTACTTTGAAGAGTCCTTTGTCTAGGATCTCTTTTTTAGCCTTTGGGGGAACAGGCGGCATGCTGCGGCCGCCTGCGAGAAGAGGTGGATCCCTGTTCCACTTATTAAAACGTTTGTTCAGCTCCGTGTCTGAACTCTCGATAATAAGGAAGGTATTCCGCCAATCCTTCCATTTGTTTGCCTTACCTCTCGTCATGAGGTAACCCCTATGGCTTGTCAATTGATACCAGCCGGTACCTCCCGACTTGGGGGTCCGGCTGAGATAGTTCATGTGGGCGAAAGCCTCAAAACTTGGCTCCACCCCGTTCAGTTCGCACCCGGCCACATAGCCGAGTACGTTTACCCAAGAGTTGGGGGCTAACTGCCATAACCCCAGATCATACCCATCTAAAATCCGCTGAACAGCCGGATGTAATGGGAAGCGCAGTCCAGCTTTGATGGCCGCCACATAGCAGCCAAAGCAGCCGTCACCATAGCTGGTACCAGCCGGCCAGACGACAGTATCTTCTGGATCCGGCACAAACAGTAAATACTCCGGGCCCATTTTGTGGTTAGCAATAAAGCTCGCCACGTTGTCTCGCATGGTTGCAATCCGGCCCCGGGGCACCCTGCAGTAGTAGGGGGCGTTTTCCTCTCTGTAAGAGGCGGACGGCTCTGCCCAATTATCCCCCTTCTCCACTGCATGAGAACTTCTCGCCTCTTGTAGGCGGCTATGTTTTTCTTCTGAGCCAGAAGAACTATGGTCAGAAGAGCTGGATTCGGACTCGTCCCCTGACGAGTCCGAAGAGGACGACTCCTCCCCTCTCCTAGAGGGGCCCGCCTCCTCTCCCTTAGAAGGAGCAGAAGGAAAATTAGACATGTCCACGGTTAGATGAGAAGGGAACACCTTGGTCCCTCTCTCAGCACTGTCAGCTTGACAGTCGCCTCGTTCTACATCTGGCGCCTGGTCAGATGTTTCGCTAAGGAGCACCCTTTGGGAGGAGCCGTCTGAGTTTGATATCATAGCAGTCTTTTTTGTTCTGGCCATCACGTTCTGCATAGACACAGATTCAGTCGGACTTTGTATAAAGGGCAAAGATGGGTCCAGAAAAGGGCAGGCGGCACTCCTAGTCCTAGATTCAGCCGTCCCCGGTGACCGGCTGATCACTAACTTAGGGCGTGTCGTGTGCTTCCATGGTGCCATTTCAAAAAATAAAAAGAAAATTAAGAGTAAGAGAACTGAGTTACCTGAACGGGTGACGGTTGATGAAGTCCTGGAAGTTCGGGTCAGTCGGCTTGTCAGAACAGGCGGTAGGCAGAAAAAGTCCGAAAATGTCAGAGCAAGTTCAGGGGTCCGAATGTTCTCGCAAAATTTCTCAAATGTGAAAATGACCGAAGTCAGCACTTCCTTTTATAGGCAAAATGAGAAGGCGAAGGGTCGCTTCCAAATTCAAATTTGGGCGGGAAAATCTCTCGGCCGTCTGCAAGGTGACACCTGTAACGGGCCGTCGCCTGTCACCGTGCGACACCTGTCACAGGCGACACGTGACCAGTCGCGTGCCACCTGTGAGGGGCAAATGATTAGGGGATTTTTATCCACCAATCACCGTCTGACAAGTGGACCAACCAGGTTCCGCCACGTGTCCTTCACGAAGGCCAACAGGAGCTTGCCACGTGTCAGTCACAGATACGTCCTCCACGGACCACTTAAGACACGCCACGTGTCCACCCATGCCAAGTGGGACAACCGGCCATCAAGGCCCATTTCAGTCTAGAGGCCCGATCAGCCCTAGGTTTACCTTAAGCCTAGAGAGTTGCACGCTTCCCAAGGCTATAAATACTCGATTAATCCTCATTAATCAGGAGAACAAAAAAACAACCGAATAATTAAGAGATCAAGCAGAGAAGAACAGACTTATTAACAACCGGCTAATCACGCTAACAACGCAGATTACCAACACTAAGCACTCTCACCTAGAGAGATCTCATTACTTTACTTTCTGTATTGATTACTCCTTAATCAGGTACTAACTTGACCGTTGGAGGCGGAGCTCTCAGGAGTCTCCGTTATTTTGCAGGTACAGACGTCCGGTTCCAGTCTCGGAATTGTAACTCTCCCGCAGGACATCAGAAAACCCCGAAACAGAACAAGTATTTAAAAAAGGAGGGAGTACAATGTAATATCTTATGTATTAGACAAGAGAATTCAAATTTTAATGTTTAATTTTTTTAAATCTGCATAATCTTCTAAACAACTTTATTTATTCAATTAACAAACACCAATTTATATATTGTAAAAAAGACACCCTACATGTTTCAAATTACACTATATTACAAAAAAAAAAAAAAAAAAAAAAAAAAAAAAAAAAAAAAATCTAACAAGTAAGGTCCTGTTCTCTTCACCTTAATTTTGCTGAACTGAAATTTTTTTAACTGAACTGAAATTATTTTGACTGAACTTAAATTATTTTTACTAAACTTAAATTAATTTTACTGAATTGAAATTATTTTTGCTGAACTGAAATTATTTTTACTGATTTTCTATTATATTTCTTTTTTTTTTTTTGAGATCTATTATAATTCTTCTTTAAGAAAACAGAATTTTACTGAACTGAAATTAATTTTATTGACATAAACTTATTTTTACTGAAATTATTTTTACTTAATATTATTTTTTTAAGGTGAATAGAACAAGGCCTAAGTTAACTTTTTACTTTGTTACTGGTTAAAAAAAAAAAAAAAAAAAAAAAAAAAAAAATTTTGTCTTTGTTACTCCGTAATTAATTGTTTGAGTAAAAAAATTTGCCGAATAAAAGATAGAAGTCTTACACAGTGACGGCATGTCCACCAAACGTATACAATATGTTAGTGGCGCCCGTAAAATACAGCACTAGCTTCGATGGCCCGGAATGTGTTACCCCTTCAACCTGCACGCACGAATGCACAAATGCAACACATGTAAATATTTTAATATTAACTTAAAATCTTAAACTATAGTAAAAGCCCCTTTATTATATTTTTTAGGCTTGAAAAAAATAAAAATGTTTTCCCATTTAACATTATCTTTTTCGCCTATTTTATTTTGACTTATATGTTCATACTATTTATAGTATCCGTCAACTTTTCAAAGTGGTTACTGTCCTAAAAATAAGTGTAAATTAATTTGTTTCACCTATAATCGTGCTTATTGAGGTTATGATTTTGACTATGATATTATACTATAAAAGAATACTCCAATGATATATTCATTTTACAAATTACAATTGTTCAATTTCATTACTTTCAGTTGATAAAATATCATTCTAATAAGTAATAAGATCTAATTTCTAACTGCATTGAAAATAGGAGTGTAATAATAGTTATTTGTCAAATCATTTAGTCAATAGTTTCAAAACAAGAATCGATTTTGAAATTACTAAATAATCGAAATTTGTCTACCTCAATTAAATTGAAAAAATTTTACGGTACCAATTAATACAATACCGATTTAGTTTAGTCTTTCATACTCGAATTTTGATTTAACTGTACCTGTCCATGGACGAGAGATGCAATGGCCATGTACCAAGCCGTGTACGTAGTCATGCCAAGGCCAAGAAAAGACCAAAGGCGGTAGTTATGGAAAGAGGGGATGAACACAGTTGTAGCACAGCATGCTCCGAATATGTAAGTCCATGTGCGTTTGTCCAAATGATCATTGATGTAGTATATGTTACTGTTACAATGTTTCCAAAATTCAAGAATCAACCAAAAATTTTGTTCCTTGTAATCATGATCACTTAAGGCAATGTTTTTTTCCAATTTAATAAAAAAATCGGAAAAAATAAGTTCAAATTATTGACTATTGAAGTTTAACTAAAATAAGTTTGAGTATATATGATCTAACCTTGCACAAGCAATGAGCTGAATAACAGATCCGAAGCAAAGGAAAATTACATTGAAGGCTAGACCGACAGCTTTCCAATAGGGTCCCAATAATCCATCCAGAACTTCAAACCACTATTAAAATAAATACAAACACATTTTATTTTTGTAAATGAAAAAAATTGATCAAATGTACAGGCATGTTCTAATTTAATGAATTGAGCCGGATAGAACTGAACTGATTGAAATTGTCATGAACTTAAATAAACTGAATATTTTATGATAGAATGAAATTAGAAATTGAACTGAATTAATCAAAGCCAAACTGAAGTGAAAATAAGACGAAGAGACCAGGCCAGTAGGGTATAACATAGAAGCAATAATGATGCAAAAATGCAGACATACACACCTGAATGACATGGTTTTTGAAGTTGACACCTTCCTTCTCCTTCCGACTCCGGTACTCAACATATAGAACACTGATGAGATACGCTGTCCAGCTGCCCAAAAAGCCGTAGAATATCTGAAGTAGTATTCCCGAAAGCATTCCTAATTGCGAAAAAGAGTATGGAAGAGTAAGTAGCACTTGTGCCACCTGCATAAACAGTTAGTTCAATCAATTAAGCAAACTCTAATCCATTACTGAAAGGTACTTGTATTTAAAAAATCATAGGAGGATTACTTGATTCGAAGCACAACTAAACCAGGCATCCCAAACCGAACCACCGTGCCAGAGGAAACTCTTAATGCCAAACATGGACTGATCATCCTCTTTGCCGCCATCACCACCTTCCTTATTGTTTATGTTACTCTCATTATCGTTAAAGTTCGACACGATTGATTCCTCACCCTGTTTTTCGGTTAACATTTTTATTTTCCTTGTCTTTCACGGGCTGATGCCTAGGCTAGATCTGTATCATACAACAATCAGAATTATAATCAATCAAACCAAACAGATCTAAATGAACGAAATAAGACAAAATGAGAGAATATATACATAGAGAAATAAGAATTATACATTACCTTGTTGTGAAATGTCACTATCTCACGCTAAATATTTGATGCAGGAGAATTAAGATCAAATCTTGTATTGTAACTCCTTATATAAGCAACTTCTGATTTGAAAAGAGAACAGAAGATGATGAACAATTAATAGACAATAATTACAGCAGCTGAAATTGCAGTGGAGAAAACGAAAGAGCTTTAATAAAAGGCCAAATGGTTTGACAAAAAAGAATTAAAAATATAACGGGGTTTACGGAAGACCAAAGAATTCTAACTTGCTTTTTCAAGCACAAAAAAAAAAAATTAAATGCGCCACAAATTTTTGCAGAAAGTTAACCACGAATACGGCTGGAGGAGCGACCCTTAAGAGAAGCACAATCAATCGCACTGCCGCTTCACCAGTTTTGCTTGGATTATTTAATTTGCGTGTTTACGCTTGAATTTGTTTTTGCAGTGCACTTGGAGAATGCAGTAGTGTATTGATCTCGAGTAGTGAGTGGAGAGAAAATAAAAAGGGCCTTTATGCTTTCTTTTAACAGCAACTCGCTGTATAACGCTTCTACGGAGTAATAAATGTAATCTACTCTATTTAACATGGACTGCCTGGATGGAGTACTTCTTACATAAAGGGATAGTATATCTTATTCAACCGTTAAAGGATATGTTATTCATCCCTTCACACCAACCGTTACTCCCTTAGTTTTTTTTTTTCAAAGTGATATATCATTCAATACCATTACTCGGTCTGTCAAGGTTAGTTACTCAGTTGGTCAAGGGTTACTTAGTTTCGGTCAGCCATGGGTTACTCTCATACTTGTTTTGGGGTTTTTTGTCTCTCGGTAGAGTTACGACTCGAAGACTGATCGGGTAGCGCCTGTACCTGCAAAACAACGGAAACTCCGTGTGGTTGGAGCTCCGCCTCCAACGATCAAGTTAGAACGTGCTGGAGAAAGTAAAAAGTGCGGAAAAGGTAAAAGTGAGATATTCTCGGATTCCATGATCAGGAGATTTCTCTAATGTAAGAGAATGTCAGGACTATTGTAATAAATGTATTTGTCCCACAAATGGGGGAAATCTCCCTATTTATAGGGTCATTGGGAAAAGTGTGCCCTTACGTAGGTCATTTGACCAGGATTTGGTGGGCTGCCCCCGCTTTGGCGGCTTTTTGGGAATTGGGCCTTTGAAGACCGCTATTCCTACTCTTAACTGTGGATTACACGTGTCATGCTACTATTGGCCTCTTTTGTACCAATTTTGGGTGGACATATTGTAGACACCCGTTTGTGTCTCCCCAAAACCAAACCCGGTGATAAGTGAAAGTGTTGAAAGTCTAGTGTTGCGGTTAGTTTTTAATTCTTTTCTTTCTCTCTGTTTTCGAAAACCTATTTTATGAAATAGCCAATCCTGTTTAGTTTGGTCCATGGAAAGGGTTCAATAATGGTGTAGTTGGATCGGATTCGAAAAGAGTTTTCCAACGATATATTATAAGCCCAATTCTGATGAATAATGAGGAAGTTATAGCCAAAATACTAAAATGGGCCCGGTTTGATTTTTATATGCGGCCCAATGATCTAGAGGAGGACCTATTATGATTTATCATTCCTAATGCAATTAGGATTGATTATGGTTTTCTAGAATCTTCTAGAAGGTTCTTTTGATTCCTAATGTGATTAACATTGATGATTGAGTTTTAAGAGGTTTTTTTTTGTTTTTTTTTGTGGTAAATAGAGATTTTATTACAAAAGAAAAAGGTTACAACTTACAGTAAAGCTAAGCTGTAAGTCTGTAACACCCCAAACACCAAAGACCAAACAGGCCAACCAAATACCAAAACAGATTCTAGGAAGGGTTCTAGGAAGAACAAGAACCAACTACTGGACTCAGGAACTTAGGCACCTTCTAGGAAGGGTACTAAGAACCAGGACCTGAACAACAAACCTAAGCAGAATACAGTAAATATCTATCAATGCTATTACATCTGCAAGCAACCAGAAAAATTATCTCCCTAATTAACTCAGAAGTTGATTTACAGTTTCCTGTAAACATTAAAGCATTTCGTTGAAGCCACACAATGTAGACAATTTCAGAAAAGCACATCACAATGAGTCTGCTCCTAGCATCAGTTTTCTTGTAGCACTTTTCAATCCAGTGTAGTTCATCAGCAAAGCTTAATACATGCCTAGTGAAACCCAGAATTTGTAACATTGAAGACCAGGTCACATTTGAATAGCTGCAATCAAAGAACAAATGGTTCACATTTTCATTAGCACCAGCACAAAAGAAACAAAAAGGATCACAGAGGATCTGCCAGACTAACAGTCTGTCCTTAGTGACCAATCTTCCCAGAATAGAAAGCCAAGTGACAAAAATACTCTTTGGTGAAGCTTGTTTGTTGCAAGTTATTCTCTTCCAAGGAACTTTAGGGCCCTGAGGCTTAATGATAATGTATAGTTTCTTGATCTGCATCTTGCCATTGACAGTAGCATTACCCCATCCACCAATGTCATTTACAAACTCTACAAGCAAGGATCTTTTTCAAAATCCATGAAGCCTTGTTAGGAATAAAACAAAAAGTCTTGCCTGCAAAATAGTAAATGTGAACCCATTTAACCCAAAGGGTATCAGATTTGCTAGCAAGGTCTCAAAGCACTTTAGTAATAGCTGCTTTGTTCCAGTCTTCCAAGGAAATCAAATTCCAACCACCACAAGACTTGGGAAGGCACATATACTTCCAGGCAACAAGAGCTTTCTTTGTAGGGTTACCTTTCCCAGTCCATAAGAGACACCTGAATCTAGATTCCATTTCTCTAATGATTTTCTTTGGTAAAATGAAAATCTGAGCCCAATAAGCTTGAACACCAAAAAGAACACTTTTAATTAATTGTAACCTGCCAGCATAGGATAAGTGCTTAGTAGCCCAAGTGTCAACTCTTCCTGTAATCCTTTCAATTAAAGGCCTGCACTCATAAATAGTGAGTTTCTTAGAGGACAGGGGAACACCTAAGTACTTAAAAGGGAGAGTACCATTAGCCATTCCCAGAACCTGCTGAAGCTCACATCTATCATGATCCAAGATACCCCCAAAGTAGGCTTCACTTTTATCTAAGTTTGCAGATAAGCCAGAAGCATCAGAAACTTCTGAAAAGCCTTAAAGAGAAGCTTAACAGAACCCAAATTAGCCCTAGAGAACAACAATAGATCATTTGCAAACATTAAATGAGTAATCCCAAGTCTCTCACACCTCGGATGAAAGTCAAAATCTGGATCCTTAGTCATATTCTGCAAACACCTAGATAAATACTCCATACACAAAGAAAAAAGGAAAGGGGATATAGGATCACCTTGTCTCAAACCTTTCTTTGCTTGAAAAGGAGCAGAAGGATAACCATTGATCATAACTGAGTAAGAAACAAAAGTTATACAGCTCATAGTCCATGTTATAACCTTGTTAGGAAAACCCAATTCACCAAGCATAGTCTCAAGGAAACCTCATTCAAACGAGTCATAGGCTTTCTTAAGATCAATTTTCAACATTCACCTAGGAGTAACAAATTTGTGAGAAAAGCCTTTGATCAAATCTGTAGCAAGCAGAATGTTATCCCCAGTTTGCTTCCCAGGGATGAACCCAGCCTGAGCATCATTAAGAACAGAACCTACCACCCTTGATAATCTAGCAGTTATGACCTTAGAGATCAACTTATAAACTAGAGTGCAACAAGCAATAGGTCTATATTCCTTAACATATGAAGGATTCTGAACCTTTGGAACCAGAGTCAGAGTAGTACAACTCCGGGATTTCTCAAAAACACCAGTGTCAAAGAAACCCAGAATAGCCTTGTAAACATCAATTTTCACAAGGGTCAAGCTTGTTCAAAGAACACAACATTGAACCCATCTATGCCAGGAGCTTTGTCATCTACAATATTAGCCAAAGCTTGGTCAATTTCAGCATGAGAAATAGAAGCAGAAAGAATATCAATGTCATCAGAGGAAAGCTGCTTCCCAGCCCTAACAATAGCAACATCAACAGCTGGAAAAGTACTAGCAACAGAACCTAAAAGATACTGATAGAAGTTAATAATTTTAGCTTGAACTAAATCTGGATCCTTCAGCAGAACATCATCACTATTATAAATGGAATCAATTCTATTCCTATTATGCCTTTGTTTAAGAACAGAAAAGAAATAATGAGTGTTAGAATCCCCAAGCTTGATCTAGTTAACTCTTGACTTTTGCTTTAAGATACTCTCATAAGTATCCATCCAATACTTCACTTTTTCTATCCCAGCAGCCTCCTGATTCTGAAGAGAAACATTAGTAAAGTCCTCAGCCAATTGAGATTGAACATCAGCAAGATGAGACTTAGCAGCTTTTGTAGACACCCATTTGTGTCTCCCCAAAACCAAACCCAGTGATGAATACCTTTCATGTCATTTGATTATCGAATAAAGCAAAAGTGTGAAAAGACTAGTGATGAGGATGTTTTTATTAAAATATTTTTTCTTTCTGTTTTTTGAAAATGTTTCTTTTCTTACCCTATTTTTGAAAAATGTTCATTCCAGTTTAGTTTGTTCCATGTTATGAGTCCAATAATGGTTTAGTTGGATGGGGCTTGGAAAGACCTTTCCAACAATATATTATAAGCCCAATTCCGATGAATAATGAGGAAGTTATGGCCAAAATACTAAACTGGGCCCAAACCGGATTTTACATACGACCCAATGATCATGTGGAGGGTCCAAAGTTCTAATCCTATTCCTAAACTAATTAGGATTAATTAGAAGCTTCTATAAGTTTCTAAATGATCTTAATTATCCTTTTTGAAAAGATAAGATTAAAGAATTTGAGTTAAATAAAACTTTCCTTTTTCTTAAATCCTAATTCTATTCGAATTTAAAGATGTTCAAAGACAGTCAGAATTTATTTTTGTGCCTCATAATCTTTATCCAAATTTTATATGGTTGGATAGATCTTGAAATTATCTTTCCAATGATATATTATAATACTAAATCTGAGCTATAACGAAAAAGATATGAATGCGATACAAAACTCTATCCAAAACTGACACCGTTCCACTATTTCAGCCATATCTTTTTATCTAAAAAAAGTTTTAATTTTTTTCTAATTGAGTTAAAACGTAGACTTCAATAGGTTTCCAACGACATATTATTTTCCTTATTTGGACTTCTGGATCATAAGATATGATAAAAACAAAATTCGCAAAAACTGTTGTCCATCGAGTTTTATTTCGATTCGAATTCGGATTCTCTTCTTATTCTTCGACTCTCTTTTTTCTCTATAAATAGAGGCCATATCTCCCCTTTTTCAATCATCACCAGCTCTCATCAAGAATCTCTTGATTACTCTCTCTCTCTCTCTCTCTCTCTTCTAAACTAGCCTTTTGCATACACAATTCCTCATACATTAGCACTAGACACACCTAGCCAAGTTTGAAGTTGCCTTCACCCTAGACGTGAAAGGTTTTAATTTCTGAGGGTTTAGTCCCAAATCTTTCTTTCAATTATTTAATTTAATTATTTGTTTATTATTTTCCTTGAATTTACTAACATGTGTATTTTGTTATTAAAAAA